AAAAATGAGGTGAAGAGAAATGCATCTTCCCTGTTGGTTGAATCAAGATTCCTTTCAGAGTGTTGGGTTCTGGGCTGATTTGTTTGTCCCTACTGTGACAAATGTGTGTAGCTTTGAACTGGTGTGTGGTAATAACCACTTTGAAAATGTAACAGGAACAGAAACTAAACTTTGTGTTTGAGGTTCTGTGACTAGAAATTAATATTTACCTTGCTTAGGAAGCAGCTGGACAGGAAAGAATCCTAGTGCTGTTTAACTTGGGTAAGAGCTGGTTTTTGAAGTGTATTTAATTTTTCCTTAAATACAGTTTCCCTACTGCTCTTTTTGAGATGAGCTTTTCTACTGCTCTTATTGAATTCTTTATTGATGTAAATGAAGAAATATCTGAGGACTGTAATTAAGTCTGATGCTCCTTCTCCTTAGGTAGCAGGATTTTTTTGTTTTCTATGGATTTTCATTTTGTGTAACGTTGTCTTAGGTTAAAGACAAATCATATTAATTAGACAAGAAATATTTTTCAAAGTACTGCCCACCTAGGACTGTGTTTGTCACTGAAATGCAAAATCAGCTACTGGCATGAAATTATTGGGCACCAAGGATCTTCACTTTTGTTCTTAGGAATGTCACTGTTTGCCGGATGGGCACCTGAGAATTCTCTGAAATAGAGACAAATTTGTTGTTCTTGAGCACTTAGTGATAATAAATGGCTTTAACCAAATGCAGCAACTGTGTTTCTTCTAGAAAGGGAACTAAATTCAGGCAATTTCTTTTCTGACCAGAGGGTTACAGAATTAGGCCTGAGGTCTGGTAGTTTTCCTGATCAGAAAAAAAGACTTGTTTTTTTGTTTGTTTTTATTTTAAAGCACAAAATAGAACCTCATCTTAAAGCAAACACAGCATTTGCAGTGAGAACATCAGAATGAATTTGGTTTTTTTGTGCCCATGAACTTGTGCAGTGCCCATATATCAGAGGCTGCAAAACCAAACCATTACAGAATTGTAGAGAGAGAACTGGTTTGGTTTGACTTCTGTGTGCCTGGAAAAGCACAGCTTGGGAACCAGAGCTCTAAAATGAGCAGCTGATTAAAAGACCCCAAAACTGTAGTCTGGAAGATGTAGAGGAATTAAGTTAGGGATTGACCTGGGTATGTTTAAGAGTCACAAGTATGATGAGGGCCCAAACTTTATTATCCAGATTATCGTGGATATTATAATAGACAGAGGGGTCAGATGGTAGAAAAATGACCTCTGACTGCAATAGGAACTTGCTACAATCTCAGTGTTGCTTTGAATTTTTGCATCCTTGTATATGAAAGGATTTGGACATTGCATAAGGTATTTTATTTATACATATCCACTGAATTACTGAGCTGAAGATGGTGCAAGACTTGAGCATCTGCCTGCTGTTGTTACTGGCCCTTCTGTAAGAGCTGCAGTGCTCCTTGTGGGGGTGATGGGGCCGGACTCCATCCTGGTCCTGTGCATCAGGGAGGAGGGAGCCTCCGGCATCAGGGGCTGCGTTTGCCAAGGCTGGGGAGCCCCGGAGGGCTGGAGCACAGAGTGTGAAGAGACAAGTGGATTTACTTCTCCAGTCATTAACTTGATCCAGTCCAAGGAGGAGGGCGGGGGCTGAAACAGTGTCCGGATGTTTTGGAAGAGCTGAGTGGCTGAACAGAATAATTATCAATCGAGATGTAGCAGAGGAAATCTGTGCACTCCTGGCACGCTCCTGGGAATGTTGATGCTTTAAGACATTGAAAAGTCTGTCTTAAATTCACTTGATTGTCTTTAGAGAAGAATGAAAGATGAAGCAATTCAGAGGAATTATTGCAATGAAGCAGGATTTGCTCCAGTTCCTCCAAGCATCCCTGTTTGTAATAAGTGTGTACATTGTGTGACTCAGTCTTCAGCATCTACAAAATATGTGTTGAATTAAATTGTTATTAGAACATAGCAGGACATGTTTATGAGTAAAGCTCCCTTAATAGCTCATCTGAACTCACTTTCATGATGTCTTATACCATTCTAGTCCAATTCATGTTTCTGTTCTCACTGAAATAATTCCTTCCACGTCTGTTTTCTTAAAGCTACCACTGTAGCTGCATTGTTGTTAGCATGCTTTATCCTACAAATTTTGCTAAAATAAATTAATAAATTGACAAGGCAGACCTAATGTCAAGAGCTTTACCAAAACTGGTACAGATGTAATTTCTGCTTTCTTTTTAATGGATAATAATCAACTTTGCTGCTGACACTCCAGAAGATACCTGTATTCCTTAATGGAGTTTTCTTAGATGTTCTGAATTGATTAGACTGTCTTATTTGAATGTGAAAAGACCAAGAGTAGTAGCTGGGCCTGGGGGAGACATAGATGTGTTGAGTAGGATTCAAGATCTGCTTGGTCCCACATACTACCCAAAATGCAGGAATTCTGCACAATAAGAATATTATGTAGAATTATGTCATCTGGACATAGATATGTGTTGAAGGGAAATATAAATTAAATTTGCCTTCATGGTATTATTTTCCTCATATCTTAGACTCAGATGATTTCTTTTCCAAGAAATCTGTTTGGTTCCAAGAGTCTTTTTGAACACTGATGTGTTTGAAAGCCAACCAAGATTACATGTTAAGGTTTAGCTCTTTGTAGTTGAAACCCACTAGTGAGCCCATAATCAGCTGCCAAACTTTATAAAGGAAACATAAAATATTATGTTGCCCACAAATACCAGCTGTAAACCACTAATGTCTGCATTAGTTCAGTAACTTCAGAGTCACAAAGTTTAATTGACTAATGGGGTAACCTGTGGCAGTCTGCTGCTTTGCAGCAGTGTTAGACCTACTGTGAACAGGAGGAGGAAATTTTACGTAGCTCATCACAGTTTTAGTCTGTTTTTCTTCAAATGGCAGATAAGCCTTGAGGCAGAGCATGCTGGAAAAGGCAAATGTTCAGAAGGTAAACACTGTTTTTTAAAACAGACAGAGGCTGCAGTTATGGTTTGAGCAAAGTGAACTTCATGAGGAATGTTTCTCTTAAGGTTAGGGCATGGTGCAAGTAATTGGAATAACAGAAATGGAAACCTTTCACTTAGACACTAAACTTTGTAAGTGATTAATAGGATGATTGATATTGTGTATACAGGATAGGCTATGCCAATCTGCAGGAGTAGAGGAAAAAGCAATCTCAAGATATGTGTTGATCAGGCAATGTTAAAGTCTTTCAGAACAGAGCTGCAGATTTCCCCAGGGGAAGAATATTGAGTGTTCCTGGGGCTGAAAGCAGAGAGGAATTGTGCTGATGTGTGGGACTGGTGTCTCAGACTGGGTGTGGTGGAGAGGTTGCTCTGTAGATGGCAGGAGTGGTGGTTCTGCATGCACTTGTTGAAGCCAAGTAAAGCTGTGCTGGGATCAAGCCTTACCAAAATACACAAAACCTGGGGCCACGGACACCGTGTTGCTCCATGTCCCTTGGCTGGCTCCTCTCTGCCTTGGGGGATTCCAACCAGCTTAATGCAGTGTTTTGCTAGAGCTTCTCTGAGATAAAGGGAAAGCTTGTGATGGAATGCCATGAAAAGCAGATGGGGAGCAACGTGCAAGTCAAACATGAGCTATTTACACATTGCTTACTCCAGACCTGATTCCTTCCAACGTTTCTTGCAATCAGCTCACTGGCACACCAGTGAGTAGTTAATGATGCACCAGGATAGAAGAACTGAACTGAAAACAGAAGAGGAAATTAAGCTGGAAAATCTGAAAGATGTAGGCAGTGATTCAGAGGTGTTCTCAGGGAAAAGCATGAGTCAATAGACAGGATAAAGACAAATGGAGAGAATGGCTGGTACAGCAGTGAAAGTGCCCTGTACAGGCTCTGTGTTTTCTTCTCTCCAGTGAACCTTTTAAAATACAGCTGACATAAGTCACCCAGGGGTACAGGCTGTCTTGTTCATAGAGCTGAAACATAGGAACTTTTTGCCTCTCGTTTCCTTATCTTTATCCTTACTTCCCTTCATTGCTTTCCTGACAGGAGAATGTTTCTTGTTTTATAGAAATGTCTCATGCTCAGATGTATGAACTAGCTCATATAGTTTGTAAAATCTGTTTATAATCCATTTTATGATGTAAGGATTTTATTAGGATTATTTTGATGTCTGTCGATAACCATTAGAAGTAGATTCCAATATTCTTAAACACTTCTTTCTGTGCTCTGGTGCATCACATACTGCTTCAATCCAGTTAAGGTCTTGCTTATTTGTTAGACTCATTGAAAGATTGATGTCAAATGTTTAAAAAAGTTATGCCAAAAATATTATACATTTTGTGTCTCCATGCCATATTTTTGATGGCATGAAGACCAGAAAAGAAGAACAGATGTTTGTCTTGTCCCTGTTGGATAGCACTAGGCCAGGGAGAACAGTGTGGACAGGACTGAAAACCAAGAAATATCTAAGGCCAAATAATAGGACATGCTCAACTGGCAGAATTTTAGGGGTTCTTGGCAAAGGCAGGTCTAGAGGGGAGAAAATGGCAAAACAGGACCTATGGCACCAGTGAATATTTCAGTCATCTGGGTAGGAGCACACTAAGGAGTCACTGAACTCAGCTGTCCTCTTTTCAGGCTCGCTCTGGCCAAAGTTTCTGCAGCAGGTGGGACTCACTTGGGTTTAGAATAATAATTTTGAGGCCCTGTACTTTTGTTTCAGCTGTTTTGTACTAATTGGGTCTTGGATATACACACCCTTTTACAGAATTGTAGTCTGAGGAGGAAAACAGCATTGAGTGAGCACTGACACTAGAACTAAAAATGGGAGAAATTTTATCTGTGAGAACAGCATAGAGGAGGAGGAGGCAAAATGCATCAGGGTCAATGACTTGCTTTTTAAGATTTTAATGCAAATGTTTGTGTGTACAGTTTGAGCAGCTGGTGGGTGATGGAGATACTTTCTGCTAATGGAATTGTGGGTGTTATAGTGTCTGAATGCTGCTTTCTTTGTCCTCTGCAGGGATCTAGAAAAAAATAACATCACAAGAATCACAAAGACCGATTTCACGGGGCTGAAGAATCTTCGTGTCTTGTGAGTATAACACAAAACTTGTCTGGTTTTTATGAGGCTATTTTAGGGTGATACTACTTAGAATTTCCATAATTTCAGAGATCAAATTCCAGTAATGTGGCACATAATTCAGTTGTTGGTATTCTTTTAAACCAGGCAACCTGAACAGTTTGTCATGTGAAACAGTAAATTTTAGTTCTACACTAAAGTGACTTTAGTTTCAGAGCTGTTCAGTTGTTTCTCACCAGCTTTGAATAAGTCATGTGGAAAAGATTTTGGTCTGCTTTACAATCACTCATGCATAAATCAGTTATATTGAGACACTAGCAAATAGAACTTTCAGATTTTGGCCATTGTAAGGTACAGTCCCATTTACATAATTTTGCACAGTATTAAGCAGAAGCTGATCAAGACTAGCTGTAGAACCTGAACACGAGGAAACTGGTGAGGTTTTTTTTCTAGTATACAGTCATAAGTACAAAGATTTCAGGTGGTGCTGTCTTATGATCTCAGTATCTATCAGGAGTTTAACCATCCCTGTAGATGGGCCTTGAACATCAGACTTTGCAGACTTTGTCATTCCTGGTTTCCTGTATTCTCACATGAACCTCAAACAACACCACTAAGTTAGTGATGAAAAGTTTTCCTCTGAGTATCTTCTAAAGCCCTTAAGGCTGCAACTGTTGAACTGTTACAGATATTTAGTGATAATATAAGTAATATTTAAGTCCTGCTAAGGAAAAGTTGAGTCTTTGCTCCTGCTACCTTAACTCTTGTGAGCAAGTTGTCACATACTAAGGAAACACCTCAAATCCATTGGGAAGACTTTTTGTTCTTGTGGTGTTTCTCTCATCTCTAGCAGAGGAGTTCTTTAGATTTCCTTGGCTCCCATCCTAACCGCCAATACCATTTTGGGAGTCTATTAAAATGCATGTTCTATACTATATTAATGCCAGTAGTTGTTTCAGTTTGGTTGGGTTTTCATAGTGCCAGACATTGCCTAATGCTGCTGCAGTCTTTTATGCCTTCAGGAATAACCAAAATGTACAGCTGCCATCTTTACTTGGAGCTTTTTGTCCTGTGTTCATTCCAGGTTTATGAAACTCATTTGCTCAGACTGAGTAGTGTGGTGTCTGCCACAAAGTTGGAATAAAACGTCCTTCAGATTTTTCTTAACTTTTCTTTGGTTTCTCTTATGGTCTCTGCATAATTCTGTTGCTAAACTCCTATTTTTCCTTTTTTTCCTTCCTGCCCTGTTTGCTGGGGGGTATAGTGAGTAGACAGAAATCCCAGTGATTTCCCAGAAATCCCAGTCTGTCCCAGTGTTCCTAGAAAGGTAGCCTAGTCCTGTTTACACACATTAGAATAAGGACTAGGAACAAGTGACCTGGAAACCTGTAGCCCTGGACAGCAGAAAAAAGTCCTCCAGTCTCAAGCAAACACCACACATTCGAAATACGAATTTGTGCACCTTTTCCTTTCATCCCTTACAGCTTTATCTTTTCCCTTTTCCTAACACCGTATTTCCTCCCTGTCCTTTAAGCAGCATGACTAATTCAGGAGCCTGAGTTTTGTAGTTTTACATTTCCATCTTCTTGGTGTAACGTGTGGATGCTGTCCTGCTGTCTGTGCCCCCAGCTCCTGCCCAGTCAAACAGCTCTGAGCATCCTCAGAGGACTGAGGGCAGAGCAGTGGCTGCTGAACAGGCAGGAATTGTGTTTTCCTCTCATCTTCCCTGGGTCCAGACTGTCCAGAAGTGTTCACAGAGAATACTCAGAGGTGTTTATTCTCTGCATGAGTGCTCTCACAGAGGCAGGACTGGGTGTGTGCTGGAGGGAGGGAAAGGGTCACCTCACTTGGGGCTGTTGGAATCTCTCTTGCTTGGCTTCCACTTCACCTGTCAAGAGCATTTCTGCTGTGGCACAGGTTTTGGCGTTTCTGAATGGCAGTTATGGCCTGCACACTGTAAATCAGAGAGAAGTCAGTCTCCTTTGCTTGTAACTTATCCCAGTGTTGGTGTCAGGAGGAGAGAAAAGCAGGATCAGCCACAGTGGAAAACTGGACCTGTCCCAGGTGTTTGTACCCTGTTGTACCGTGGGGCTGTAGGGTTGTGTCACAAAGCTGCTGCTCCTGAGGGGTGGAACCTCTTTGGAGCACGTAGAGGATTTGTATCATACAAATACATGCATAGAAATTTGTATTTGTATTTGAAATCAGTGCAGAACAGAGTCTGGACAAAAAAATACCTTGCCATTGAGTTGTGGGCTGTAGAAGTCGGGTATCTTAATTTTGGCACACAAATATCCTGGAAAGATTGGGAATGTCCCAGGGATGTCACTGCCAGCCTCCAGACTGGCACCTTTCTGAGCAAAATGTGGTTACAGAAGTTTAGGGACAAAAATATTTGCCAAATGTGGAGATCAGGAGGAAAATTTGGAGTAAATTTCCTGTTGGTGACCAAGAGAAACAATGCTTCTCTGCCCTGATTATTTTAATCATCTCCACTTAACACTGGTGTTGATACTTAGGTGAAAAGCATTTTGATAATGTTTGAAGAGAAATGGGAATGTTCTTATATTTCGTTAAAATTAACTGGTATTTCTGGAATTGCAGACACTTGGAAGAAAATCAGATCAGTGTGATAGAACGTGGAGCTTTTCAGGATCTGAAACAACTTGAACGGCTGTAAGTATCTGTATTTATACCTGTGGAAAAGCTACAGACTTTGTACTCACTGTTAATGATCCATAACGTATAATGATAATAAAATTAACTTTCTTCAAGAAAGAGAGAGAGATGAGTACCTGCCTAAATTAAAGTATGCTCTTAAACACGGCTGAATTTATGTTACATGATAGCTAATACTTGAAATAAAATATAGAGTGGCTGCCAAGAAAATAGAACTGGCAGTGAAACCAGAGTCTCAATAGCATTATCAAAAGGACATTATCTAGGCAAGTCTTAAAACTGGTATGTGGAGGAAAGACTTTTTAATAATAATTTAATATTATTTTATATATGTGTATTTTGATGGAAATAGCCATTTTCTCCTTTGAGAACCACAGTATTTCTGAAAATGCCTTTATATCTAGTTTTCTGATTAGCTTCATTTCCTCTGAAGTAGCATAATGGCAGTGATAGCAGTGGATTCCAGGGTATCATGGAAGACTTAGTGGAGGAGGGATTGTAGATTTCTTCTGCTTTTGGTAGCAATTAAGTTAATTTTTTTTCTTTTTTGGAGAAGGTGAATATAAGAAGTCTCTCAATCTGGAATCAGTTTTTAGCAAACTCCTGGCCCTGCAGGAGTATAAATTTAAATATTAAAAAGGACAAAGTTAATTCTGCATCCAATTGCTGTTCTTAGCTGGGTTTGCTCCTTATCATCATCATTAATTCTGTCTGCTATGGTGGGAGCAGGGCAAAATCTCTGTAATACTGAAATACCTTGGAGAATTATTCTTTGTTAGAGGTAGGTGACCAGAACAATATCTCAAGCTGGTTTGGAATGCAGGCTTTTTATGCTTGGTTGGTAACTGTTATCTGCAAGGCATTTCTTGTAGGACTTGTTATTTTCCCATTGATATTTTCTAAAGCAGCTTTCAGGAGTTAAGTGCCCACTAGCAATTATTCAGGAGAAGTCTGGTGTATTGAGCTAATGCTGTACTAAAGCTGTTTCAGATGATCTCAGGATTAGATTTGCATTTGAGTTGTTTAATGAGGGCACTGAACGTTTAAAATTAATTTACCCAGTACTTTTGTCATGAATCAGAAAAAGCTCCATCTATGGCAGTAAGGGAGATGAGTTTTAAATTCTGATTATAGCAAATTTTCACCTATATTCAATTAGAATAGAGTGCAGAGTTTTGCCATAGCTGATTTATTTCAGAAAAAAAAAATACCCAACCCTAGCTTAATTTTCTAAAATTAAACATAGCTTGGCATTGTGGAATGCTTTTTTCACATTGTATGTAATCTTGAAGAGTCAGTATCCTAACTACCAAGTCCTAGTAATCTCATTTTATATACATTTGTATACATATATAAATAGGTCTTTCTCATACCTACATTTAGATTAAAAATTCATACGGTTTTCTCATATCTATATTTAGATAAAGTTTCACATAGTTAAATTTTGAAAGAGTTTTGAGGAACTTCCAGGAGAAGGGGCTGGCTGTTGGTAGCCAGAACCCAAATTCGAGTGTCATCTGTTGTGTTTCTGCAGAGCCTGCTCTGCCAAGAACTGAAAACAATATATATTGTGAAAGCAGAAGGCAGGAAATATGATACCTTTAATAGTGTCTCTTTAAGTCTGTGATGTTTGAAAGTTTCAACTTGTTTTTTTTTCTTCCCTGTACGAACTCTTAACTTGGCCTGTTAACCATACTGCATCTCTGCTTCTCTTTTAGCATTGCCTGTCATTAAAATATTTCCTAAATTAATGTAGTATGAAAGGGAGGTCTGGAAACTTGCAACTTTTTGGTATTTTAGTTTAAATCACTTTTAGGACAAAACTGTAAATCTGGGGTTTTTTTTGCTATGAGTCAGTAGGCTTTGGAGAATGGACTGTGGAAAGTTTGGCATAACTTACAAAGGCTAAATTGCAACATTTTAGGTAATATTAAAGCTATTTTATTAAGTATTCTCAAACATTGCAAAATGTTAATGAAGAAGGTATGCTGGTTGCATTAAAAAAAATAACCTGGCTTTTTTCCATTTAATTTCTTTCAAATAACAAATAAAAAAATCACTTACATTGCTTCGATTTTTGGAATAATGTTCTTTTTTGATCTATTGAAGTGGATGCAAAAATAATCATTAACTTATTTTTAAACAAAGCAGCTGTACTAGGTCAAACTTTAAAGAACAGGAGTAATTTCTATTCCTGGCAAAATACCACATATAAAGGTTTTCATTCAAAGTAACAGTGGAAGTATGGTCCACTCCTCTCCTCAAGCATTCAAAGGGCTTAAGCTCAGGTGAATATTGGAGCTCACTTTATTTTTACTTGTCAGGACATTGAAGCAGTTCCATTGTTATTATCTGAGAAAATTAGCAAACTTTTGTTTCACGTGTCCTGTAAAAGTAAAGTTTAATTAAAATGTCTTTAGAGCTGATACCCACTGCTGCCAAATATGCCATGGAGGTGACTCTCCAGTTATTTGGATTTAATTTGATTTTTTTTTTTTTTTTGGTGGGACATTAATTCTTAAAATGCAAATAAAGGAGGATATTGTCAGAATTGCATATTGGCTGAATAAAATTTGACCACATCAGTTGAAGAAAGAACATTATGCAAGGTTTCTTAAAATGACAGACAGCACAAAGCTGAGAAATGAAGCATTGTGGGAGTGGAAGGTAGAAGCAGCTTCTTCTTTTGGCATGTTTGTACTCAGCACTTGGGAAATGCAGGAATCTAAGCCATTGTCTCATAGCAAAATTCCATGTGTTCAGTGTAAGTTCTGCTGAATCCTAAGGTCCAGAAGCCTGAGAAAGACCAGTGGTACTCACCACAGTGGAAAAGCCAAAATGTTTCCAGTGCTTTTATTGCAGCAAGGTTGTACAGCTTTATTCTAGAACATAAAAATCAGTGGTGAGGTAGCTGACCCCCATTTTGGATTTTAGCATTTCAGTTTAATGCTTTGCTATTAACACCGTGTAGGATTTTAGGATAAATGATGATGAAATTTCACATGCCAAGAGAATCAAGAGGCGAATTGGTGGGCCTGAAAGATGAACTGACATTTCTTCCAGAGCCAGATGTATGTCACACATTTCTGTGAAAAATGAGGCAGGATATAAGACACCAACAGATCCTGACTTTTCCACGGCCAACTGCCAGAAATCGTCACGTAGCTCTGTAATCTTCAAAAGAATGGACTTTGGCTGATGGCTGCTTCTTTCTACTCAAATTAGTGTCTTTAGCAAGCATAAAAGGTCTCAACATCTGAAAACACTAAAACTGTGTTTTTGTTGTTTAGGGGAGGGGGGAAAATGTATAAGCGTGGCCAAATCAAATCTTCTCAAAGTTGGGAAAAATAATTAGGTCTAAGAAAATAGCAAAAAGCTAGAATCCAGATTTTAACCCTGGTATGGTTTTGGTTTGGTGTGTGTGTGAAGACAGAGGTCAAAATGGAAATTATGTTTGATTCTTAACTGCAGTGATGCTACTGTGCATTGAGTCTTTGTAAGCAGCTTCTCAAACTCTTGATTGAGGTATTAAAGTGTATTTATTTGGCACAGTGTACTGTAAAATTGCTATTAGTGACCAAAGATGCTAAGGCAAAGAATAAATTGTTATGTGGTGCTTCACAATCTGGATTTCATAAATTGAGATTGAACATGCTTTAAATAAATCATGTAATACAAAAAGCATCTTCCACAATTACCGTGCTGAGTGGAGAGATTGTAGGTGCTTCAGAGTAGCTGGGAAAGTAATAAAAGCGTTGGGCAGTTCTTTGCTGCTGTAAACAAAAGCCAGTCCTTGGCAGCAAGGACCAGTCCAGAGTGTTTACACAAGGTTTGCAGTGTGTGCAGTTCGGATGTTTCTGCTGGAGCTGCATGCACTGCACGTTTCAGAGGCCACATGGATCTCTAAAGATGTCACACAGTTCAAATCTAACCTTTCAGAAAAAATAAAAAAACCTCCTTGTTTTCGGTTCCCATTTTCCCGTGGCATGGTGGGTAACACATCCCATTGGAAATCCGTGCTCACAAAATGCTTATCTGGAAATTCAGGAGAACAAAAACACCCTAAAATGGATTTAGACCTGTGGCTGGGTATTTAATCAGTTTTATCAATTGTCTATTTCCCTCTTGCTGCTTCAGCTACCACAGGTGAGTTGGTTTAGTACCAGGTTTGCTGCCCAGGGGCTGCTGGAGGTGTCTCTTTGCCCATGGGACTGATGGATTCTCTGCTTTCACACCAAAGACAGCAGCATCCCCCTGAGCTCCTGAGGAAGTGGCTGTGGGATGTGTCAAAACCTGAGCTGCACTTTCCTGCTGGGCAGAATTCCTGCTGCAGCAGCTGCCTTCACACAAAAAAACCAATCCTGTGGTGTCTAATCCCAGGTCACAGTCTGGGTGTCAGTGGTGCCATCTTTTGTAAATGGGGGAAAACATTTTCTATCAGAGACCACTTGTAAACTGAACCACTCTTTGTGGGAGCTGGCAAAGAACAAACAAAACTGAAATTCCCTCTGTGACACCTGGAGGTGTGTTCTGGTCTCCTGGTTAGAAGGATAGATCAGTTCTTGGTTCTTGTGCTGCTTGCAGCTGTGAGCTCAGCAATATGAAGCTCCTTGTTGCATTGGCTGATGCCTGCAAATTTAAGTAATATTTATTGATATTGGTTAATATTTAATTAATATTGTTTGTAACATTTTTCCCCACATCCTCTGAGAAATTATTCCAGTCATAAAAAAAAAGAGTCCTGTAATTAACATCTGACAAAGCAGTCTCTCTTACCTTGCATTTTCAAGCAAATTTAGCATTGCTTTTCACATGAGTGTCTGTGTGACTGTTTACGTTGTGAGAAGTCCAACATGACAAGCCAGAATGTTTTGGGTGGGAGTATCTGACAGGGTGTTATTGGTTTTATTCCTGGATGCTGATGGGACAGCCATGGAGATTGGAGCACTTGGTGCTGCAGAATTTTTCTAGTGTTATTTCAGTCCCTTCCATTCGTT